CCCTTTAAGGCTGCTTTTGGACGCTAAACGACAAAATCATATGTGCAACTCTAGGGTTTCCCCCCTTTTCTCACGCTGAGTTTTCTTCTTTCTAATTAAGCATTTTTACAAATATACAATCCAATCAAGAACATAGAAACATACCTTTTTTTCGCTCAATTATCAGAAAGTTTTAAATCAAAAAATCGTATGGGGAATTTCATAGTTTTAATAGATTTACTCGATTAAATTTGTTATCGCTTATAGAAGTACGATCGCAGAATGTTTTATATATAATAGAACAAATAATTTCTACGTCCCCGTTTCAGCGGTTGATCTACTTATATTGGATGAATAATTTCTACGTTATTATTTCATTACTGTCCAAGCTATCTTTTCGCTATTATTTTTCAAACATCGCATATGATATAACGTGTTTGCTATATATAATATAGAAAGTAATCAAGTATCGATATACTATAATATTGCTATATGATATGTCTTGGAAAAAATCAATCTTAGGATTTCTCATTAGCTACGCATGTATGTATACAAAATTGGAGAGAGTACTTAGCAAGGAAAAAGGAAATATGAGACAAATAAGGAAACTATACAAATCCTAATATATTTACATATCGTAATACTATATATAAAAATATCGGTACTAAAACTTTTTTCAAACCCAAAAGAGTGACACATAAGTAACATGAAGAATAACGTTGTAAACCGTAAATATATGAGTTAGAATGTCAATATGCACATATCTATGTTTGACGGTTTTATATTAATATTATTTCTTTTGATTAATTTCATATTATAAATCCTTACTTTTTACCAGTTTTTAATTATAATAAAGGCTAGTGCAGTAAAAATACCATTTTTCCTATGCAATCATTATGTGATGAACGCTCTTGTCTCGTAATTTTAGATATTTGGAGATTTGGTCTCCTAAAAAATACATTAAAATATATGCTTTCTCATGGATACCCGCAGAAAGTATAATATTTTAGCATTAGACAAATGGAATAAATTTACCAATGATATTTCATCAAATCCTACTAAGAATATAAGTAAGTGCATAATTTATTTTAATTCAATATCATACACCTTGTTTTATATGGAGATATATGTATAGGCTCTTATTATTAGCTCTTTAAATGCAATTATTCGGATTATAATTCATAATTCAACTAACATTTTTTAGTGCATGTTGTCATGGTAGCTAATGCTTATCCATTGTGATCTTTGGATTCCGAGCTTCCGACAAATGTTATTGCACAGACCGAAACTAAATTTGTGAATGCACGTTTACAACCAAAAAAGAGAGAAAAAAATGATGAAATACACGAAATTCAGATTTTTTTTTTTCACTTTTTCCATTTCCTCCAAAAGATTTAATTGTCTTCTAATTAAAAAAAAAACTTGTAAATTTATGTCCGTGAGCTATTGTGTTTTGACCTGCACGTACGGACAGCGATGCAGGAGCTATATAGACGGATTAGATTCACGCTTCACCTGCACTCAAACCCTTATATCACTCAGAAAATGCCACGTGGATATGTTGCAGCCAATCAGAAGCAGAACTCGACCACGTGGTCACGTGCGATTCCAGGAGCCCAGATATCAATGCGGCCTCTCCATGTGATGTGAATGTGAGCGCCCCTTTGTTTCTTGCATTTACTCTTTCTACCGATCGAAATCTATTAAAATTTTATTCTTTATGTTATTATGCGTTCTTTTAATCTTTAATTAAATATATTTTACCTTTCTCTATAGTTTTTTTTCTTCATAAAATAAAACAGTGAATATAGGGTTGTACGTCTCAAATCAGTTGTGATATTATTCTTCTATTCTTAGGGTTATTTTTTTTTTATTAATCATCATCTGTATATTTATTTACTGATATTTTCAAAAGCTATAACCAAGATTAAATTATAAACGATATAAAACTCGATTGGTAAATCATCATATAGATTGTTAGAATTTATAATTTATAAATGTCGGTTACTAGACAATGAAATGAGTGAAAGTTTTTAAGATATATATAGGATACTGGGTATATTCTTTAATTTTACAATTTTTTAAATTTTTATTTCATGGGCTATTGATAGTGTCTAGCAACTTGAGATTCTAAATGTTATATTCTAAATTAAGTTATAGCGAACCATTAACCAAAAAACAAAGTTAAAGGAAACCAAATTCCGTGGATATAGGATGCTCTCTACATCATAGGAATCATCATAACCACCGTTCAAATAAAATTTTAAAAGATATATATATATATACACACACACACATTAGATATTATTATATAAAGGGAGGAGACAGGTATAGTGTACGTGTTAATACATAGTCAAACGTATTATCCCGTTAACATATGTAAAGGTTTGTCGTAATTACCGGAATAAACTAATTAATGAACCGATTAGGTTGCCAGCAATGTTTCGATTCACACAAAGCGAAAAGAATAATAGTTATTAAATAATGGTTGTGGAAATAAAGATGAGTCCAGAGAAGATAGGCAACGACCCTCCTTTCCAAGAGAGAGAATTAAGTGTTATACAAACACATTAATGATATATTAATTATATGTAACATATATAATACCTATTATGTATGTATGTATGTATATGGAGGATAGGTGTATATATATACTATATAGGCTCTTGGACGGCCGACGTCCTCCGCGAGAACCGGTCGGCATCATTTGCTTATTGCAGATTCTCAACTCCAAGACATGATGATGTCTACTTACACTTATCCATCAATATGCGTACACAAACACACACACACACACACATATATACACGTGTCCATAATACATGTGTGAGCATGGAGGATGAATGAATGGTGATAATTTTGGCGATTCGATGTTTATCGTGCTGTAGTTTGACAGTTTTTATTGTAAGAGGATTTATATGAATCGCTTCGAGAATTCAATTTGTCATATATAATGAAATATTCTCTTGCTTTATTTCAAAATCGATCGAGTATATACAAATCTTGGAATGAATCGACATGGATGTCTTCAAGAATTACTTACAACACAATTGATGTCTTAATGGTTATAGAGAGATGTTTGGGGAAGCATCACGCAATAAATTTCGAACAACTTTAGTGGTTTGAATGTTTGAGATCAATTAATGGGCTGATGATTTATCTCTTTTGTTATTGAAGTTATTGATTCATTACTTAAATACAGGGAATATTACATATTAAATGATAATCAATGGAGATAAAATCAAATAACTAAATCTATCACGGTCGTCGTGCATAGAACACTAGCCAGTTGGTCGTCTGTGTATATATATATATAGATTCATTGAGGTGAAGAACATTCCGTTTGATTCTTTCATTGTACTCATTAGATTCATTGATCGATAAATGGGTTATTGTGTTAAATACATTAAGGCCCTTAAACACAATTAAGAAGCCCAAAGTACTTAATTAGTGACCCATATTATTTATTTATTTTACTCATAACACGGAAGATCAAAGAGAATGTACATTAAGCTCACTCCATAGTGTCTTTGGGCCTCTGATGATGTCATAAATTTTGGATAATTTCATAATGCATTTGGGTTGTAAATTTACAACGGTTTTGCGTTGCAAACCGCCATTGCTAATCTGCAACTATGTGGCGTTGAAATTGCAATTCGCCGGCACTTTTTTTTTTGTAGTGTAAGAAAAATAAATGCATAACCATGTATTTAATCTTTTATATGTGCCCTTTACCCATATCCTATACATATATATAAATATATATATACACAACTTTTTGGATGCAAATGACAAAACTTCGTATAGTATACATACAACTATATGTGTATGCCCTAACATATATGTGGTGTTGTATAAATATATAGAGATTAAGATATACAAAAACTGCAGTAGTAGGTCTAGCTAAACAAGAAGATTTCCCAATCACAAAAAAGGATGCATGGATGTTGAACCCTATAATTATCACAAAAAGGATGATGATGATGATGATGAATCTTGAGAGGCAGACACAAGGGGAAACATCACCGGAACCACTTTGGCCTCCGAGGTCTTACACTTGTAATTTCTGCCTGAGAGAGCTCCGGTCGGCTGAGGCCTTAATTAGGCAGTCAAATGAACGTCCACGGCCGTGAACAAGCTGCTAGGGCTCACACTCCCTCGGTGGCTCGTAACGTTAAAATATGCAACCATAGAATGTTTAATATATATATCCGACCGATGAGTAATGAATCTTAAAAAATTTATAATCGGGGACAAACTTATTGACAAACGTAATTTTACTGCAGTAATATTTCACAATTTTATTTTAAATCTTATAAATCTATAAAAATTATTATTTTTTAATTAGGGGCATTTGTCCCATTCATTTCAATAATTGGATCACCAATCATCGTTAATCAGATAAAAAACACACTTGCCTTAATCTAGAAGAAAATTAATCTTTTATGTAAAAAGTTTACTAAAAAAACTGCACAATATCTTAAACTCAAGAAAAGTAGCACATTTTCTAATAAATTAGTTGTTGATTATTTGTTTAATAAAAGAGAGCTATTTTCTCTAAGAAAGGCTTATTTGGTTAACAATCAAATATCCGAACCGATCTAAATCAAATAACATATGAACGTTACCAAACCAATTTCGATATAAAATCAATAATTATAATTTTTCTAAAATCAGAAAAAAAAACAAATCCATATTTAGAACCGGTTAAAAAAGTAACTGAAAAAATCAAAAATTTCTTAAAAATCATAAAATTGATACCGAACCGAATTCAAACAGAAATATAATCTAACGCAACCGAATTCAGTATAAAAAACCTCGTTATATTTTTTTAAAACCGAAATAATTAAACTCAAATATAATGGGGCCTAACACAAACTAAAACCCGAATAACCCACCCATTGTGGGAAAAAAAATCAAAGAATACTACAGTACAGTCCTTCAAACATACGGTCGCCAAGACAAGCTAGTTTCGCGCACGTGACACAGCACAAGTACGCACCCACACACACACACAAAAAAAGGGAATTAAGAAGACAATCACCAACCACTAAATTCGATCTTTGATCTAAAGTTTATAGCCTCTTTGGCAGCAAAGTTGCCTTCTTTGTGGAGGAGATTGGTGCGGTGGGTGCAAATTCTGTCCACTTGATTTCTTTTTTCTCCATTGTATTTTATCGGATTGTTTTGGAGTTTTCTGAATCTGGCCCGTGATTTTGCATCAGGGTTCTTTCTATTCATCCGGAATAGGCTCACCCTTCTCGGACCCATTCGATCTCGTTCCATTTCCATCCAATCATCTCCGGTAAGGCAACCCTTTTCAGATTCGAATCTTCTTCGGGGTTCCGATTCGATTTTCGGCACTTTCATCGAGATTTTGGTGCCTTCTTGTAAGCAATGATTCGTTTTTCATCCGCAGTTGTTCGTCATGCTTGCTTAATGTGTATGGTTCTGGGAAACAAAGTTTCCAACTTTTTCGGGGAAAAATGGTCCTTTTTCTGGAGAAAATCCCAACTGGTTTTACTGGGAATTCAATGATTGTTTCGGTTCTTCGGTGAATGAAATTGGATCAGGTTTTTCCATCTGCCAGCAATTGTCTTATAGTTCTAGCATTTCTCTGATTAATCCTTACTCTCTGAATAGCGTTAAGCGCTGAAATCGATCGTATGCATACAGCTCCATGGCCATGTATGGACAGAGTCTTTTCATATCTTCATCTAAGAAAAACATATCAAGCTTTCATGTTTCCATTGTCTTAATCTGATCAGTTCATTAGACAATCGTGTTCTGTTCAATTTTTTTGATTCTGGTATTGGTCGTTAAGCTTCTACTGCCTAGGCCATACATCTGTTCACGGATTCATTTTCTGGCTAACATCTCCATCATTGAGATGCATATCTCACTGATCCATAACACTGTATTTCTCTGTAAGATGGCGGAAGCAACAAAGGATTTGGCTTCAGGGACAGTTGGAGGGGCAGCTCAGCTGATAGTAGGACACCCATTTGACACCATCAAGGTCAAACTTCAAAGCCAGCCAGCTCCAGCCCCGGGCCAGCCTCCCAAGTACGCAGGTGCTGTCGACGCGGTCAAACAGACCCTCGCAGCCGAAGGGCCGAGAGGTCTCTACAAGGGAATGGGTGCACCACTTGCCACCGTGGCTGCCTTCAATGCAGTTCTGTTCACGGTGCGAGGCCAGATGGAGGCATTGCTCAGATCTGAGCCCGGAGCCCCTTTGACCATCGGTCAGCAAGTCGTGTGTGGTGCTGGGGCTGGATTCGCCGTCTCTTTCCTTGCTTGCCCCACTGAATTGATCAAGTGCAGGTTAGCTCTTGTGTTTGCCGGTTCTAGATGTGTATATGAATATATATGAACTTATCAACCTGTTTGCTCGTAGATTTCTCAACTATGCTTACTTATAGAGTACCATGTATCGGTTTTTCCCCTGCCCACGATTTTGTCGAAGAAGAGTTTCCTGATTTGCGTTGTGGTTTGTGGTCATTTTCAAAACCAGGTTGCAAGCACAAAGTGCACTGGCCAGCTCAGGTGCAGGCTCGGTGGCTGCAGCCGTGAAATACGGTGGGCCAATGGACGTAGCTCGTCAGGTCCTCCAATCAGAAGGTGGAGCCCGAGGTCTCTTCAAAGGCTTATTCCCGACTCTAGCCCGTGAAGTCCCGGGAAACGCCGCCATGTTTGGAGTGTACGAAGCCTTCAAGCGCTTCCTAGCCGGAGGAGAAGACACTTCGAGCTTAGGACAAGGATCACTTATCATGGCCGGCGGTTTGGCAGGAGCATCCTTCTGGGGGTTTGTTTACCCGACCGATGTGGTCAAGAGTGTGCTCCAAGTCGATGATTATAAAAACCCGAAGTTTTCGGGTTCCATGGATGCCTTCCGGAAGATTCTAAAGGCCGAGGGAGTGAAGGGTCTGTACAAAGGGTTCGGACCGGCCATGGCTAGGAGTGTCCCTGCCAATGCCGCTTGCTTCTTGGCCTATGAGATGACAAGGTCCAGCTTGGGTTAAGCTGCCCTTTCCTTAACATAAACCGAGGGCTGGTCCTCATGGTTTACCGGTTAAGCTCAAAATTGGACCAGAAAAATTGGTTAGGTTTCGGTTTAGACGATTCTTTCTCTTTCACCTCTGTATTCCTTTTTAACTTTGAACTGCTGATGGAAAGAAAAAAATTATTTGTGAACCGAATAAACCGGTTTTCAATCCTCACCCATAAATTCCAACAATTTTCCGATCTACGGGCACAGTCTGCTCTGAATTCTTGTTACCAATCCGGTATGAGATACCGGACACTGGTTTGACGTAATTCCATTGGGGGGATCCGGTTATGGTGATGGTTTACGTAAGTAACCGGGCTGGGCTGGAGATCGAAATGCAGAAAAAGAAGGCCCATTTGAACTATGACACGTGGCGCGTATGTACTTTTACATGAAAAATATGGTAGTAAAAGGAAGATATACAAAACAATTGTATGGATAGAGATCTGTATATTCCAATATCATTTGGGTCTTTGTAAAATAAAAATATTAGGAAGGCTTTTAAGCCACCAGAGATTCTTTCAATGCTTATTTTACGATAAACAAATTCACAATTATTGTCAAAGAATATTTGAGATGAATACTTATATTAATACATATTTAATGAGAATATTCTTGTTGTCTGTTTTCCTTTTAAAAAAAATGAAACAAAAAAAGGAGAATTACATGCATTTTATAATAACTCTTTTAATTAAAAAAATGGTGATAGGAATAATAATCTCATCAATTTAACATATTTTTAACCAAAAAAGGTCAACTCCCCAAAAAAATTATAAAGAAAAAAGCGAATTCTCGATGCTATCTTCTTCATTTTTTGCCTTTGCCGTTGAAATAAACCTAAGAATATCCAAAATTTTTAAATCAATTCCATATTTATAGAAAATCCCAATATTAGATATAGATATATATACGATTAAAATATTACATTTAGATATAAAATAAATGATACGGGAAAAGCGTAATTACGGGTTTGTGGATAGATAAAGGAAAACAGCTGGCGGCGCCACTAATAGTCATAACTTGTACCTACCGTATACATATATTTTTTTTTTTGTAACTTCTATTTATTTTTTCCTGTAATCAAACATAAATTACGCAAGGGGAAAAGATGTGAAATAGGAGAAAATCTCAATTGGTTGTTGGACCGTTCGTGTTTCAGTTTTGAGAGCAACAACGATCATCATAATTCAGAAAATAAAAAATAGGGCCAATTAATTTAATATACGGTTGATAAATAGATTTTACATATAAAAGACAAAAGATTATCATTAACTTAAATCACTTTGGAACTCCACCACAGTTGAAAAGTGAACCCCGTTAAATTCCGTTCTACAGATTTCCTTGTTTACCCTTCATTTTCCCTTGAACTGACATCTTTACCCTTCTTCCTCACTCAAAATCAACCCTCACTTGTCGTATGCCCCCAGGCAAATTCTCTCTCTCTCTCTCTCTCTCTCTCTGATCTGCCGGAGCAGGTTAAAAATCCACATCAATGGCGGATCGAGAACCAATCAGAGAGGAAACCCACAACAATACAACCCATCACCTAACGATGCCATCCGGGTTGACCCAGGAGGAGTTCTCCGAGCTGGCTCAGTCGATCGCCGATTTCCACACCTACCGACTCGGTCCGGGGCGCTGCTCTTCCCTCCTGGCGCAGCGGATCCAGGCGCCGCCGGAGATCGTGTGGTCCGTCGTCCGGCGCTTCGACAAGCCGCAGGCCTACAAGCACTTCATCAAGAGCTGCGTGCTGGAGGAGGGGTTCGAGATGCGCGTGGGATGCACGCGCGACGTGACCGTGATAAGCGGCCTCCCGGCGAACACCTCGACGGAGCGGCTCGACATCCTGGACGAGGAGAGGCGCGTGACTGGGTTCAGCATCACCGGCGGCGAGCACAGGCTCCAGAACTACAGCTCCGTCACGACGGTCCACGGCTTCGACCGTGACGGCCGGATCTGGAGCGTGGTCCTGGAATCGTACGTGGTGGACGTGCCGGAGGGAAACACGGAGGAGGACACGCGGCTCTTCGCCGACACCGTCGTCAAGCTCAATCTCCAGAAACTCGCCTCCGTCACCGAAGCCATGGCTCGAGACTTCGGCGAAGCCGCCGGTTCCCCGGCGATGTGACACGTGGCCAAGGGAAAAAATTCCTGTTTTCTATAAATTGCTGTTTCATTGTGTCATATTTTCTACTGTGTTTATTGTTAACCTCGATTCTTATTTTTCCTTTTTCACAACCCTTTTTATTTTTATCTGGAAATGACAAAAATGTCCTTACTTGCTCCGAGTGAGATCGGTAATTTTCGGACATTTCCGACAAGTTTTTTTTTTCTTTCTCGGGATATGAGTCTTATGACCGCCTTAGAACCCTAACTAACGAAGATTAATAGGACTTAATAATAATCTAATTGTGATTAGTTTTATTTTATTTGTGTAATTAATGATTTATTACTATGCGTAATAACAACATAGATGAGGGGAGGGCACAAACAATAAAAAGAGCCCAATTGTGGTAAGTTACTTGTTCCTCCACATGTCGACTCTCCCTCCATTTTTTGCAAAGCGCTTCAAAGTGTGTGCCGTTTTCAGGCAAAAAAAAAAGGAGTTTCAGATTGTGGGACCCCTTCATCCGCTGTTTTATTTTTATCAATAGAAAAATTAGAATATTAATACCGAAAGTTCTCAAATTTTTTTAAATAAAACTTAACTTTTAATTTTTAACATTTAAAACCTAAATTTTAATATTCATATTTTAATAAATTTAAAATTTGTAAGTCATATCAAACGTAATCCTAAATATTAATATAATAACTCAAACGATGATGTGATAATTTTGATTTTAACAAAATATTACACGTGATTTTGAACGAATTTAAAATTGTTACATCATTATTCGGATTATTATGTCAGTGTCTGGAGTTAAATTTGATGTAATTTATAAATTTTAAATTTATTTAAATAAATATATATATTAAAATCTGGGTTTTAAAAGGTAAAACATAAAGTTGAAATTTTATTTAGAAAATTTTAATAAGTTGAAACATTAATTTTCTTTATCAATATAAAGTTCTGAATATATTTTTTTAAGAAAACAAGATACGTCATCTTTTTTGGTAATAATGCAGCAGGATGGATCCTCTGTATGTGAAATAGACAGAGGAATTAAATTCGAAATGATAAAGTAAAGAAAATGAATGGATTATATTAAATCAGGAACTTAAAGTCCCATATCGTATTATCGTGTAACAAAGGCAAATGAAATGATTATCATACGCCTTCATTTGCAAGTTGCCAACTTGATCCGACAGAAAGTGAAACAAAACAAAATATTGGAATATAATTTAAGTTAAATAAAACGAAAATTAAAAAACGAAAGGGCCTATAAAATAAAATATTGAAATAGAATTAAATTTAGTGAAAGACGAGGGAGACGAGTCAAAAGAAAGAAATACGAGGAAAAATGAATTTTCAATAGATGTTTATCAAAAACAAAAAAATCAATAGACAAAATATCTGAATTTCGAATATTTATCTTGATCCGAAGGTTAGATATCCGACTTTGCAATTGAGATAAGGATTGAGTTTTGATACTTAAAATTCGAAATTTGGATTCGAATTGATATTTTTTGGATCGACTAATTACTTGCGAATGTTCAATTAATAATAAAAAATAATATTATATTTTATAGTATTCAACTAGTGTCTATCCCTAATTTCCCAACATTCTTGTTTTAGGGGTAGCAAAAATTAAATGGGTATTTAATCAAAATTGTCATTTATTCAGCATTAGGTAAATAGACTGTTACATGTCAATAACATACAACAAACAACAACAAATGGGTACTTGCAATAATAAACATTACCCTATAAAGTTAACATCTTTCATGGGCTTTTTTTTTTTCTTTCTACTAAAGGGTGAAGCCTTACCTTTACCCACATGGAGATAAGAGAGTCTTTTTCATTGGATTTCTCCGACTTTCGCCATTAGAGCCCTCTTAAGCTGGTCCTGCGAGAAGAACCGGTTCCCCATTTTCACGGTTGCTTGCTGGATCATGAGATCATTCACCACGGATAGACTGGCGTGATTGACCTCCAAGTCCAGATCTTTGAGTGCTTCCATGAATTTAGCACCCGGGTGGTTCTTCTTGCCGCATTGGATCCGTATCATCACGTCCCAACCTATGATCTTCACGTCGATCTCCATCTCTATCGCCAGACCTGAATCTTGATTCGTAATGACACCCTTTCGGTCTTTACTGCGTTGTTGTGGCCGTGAATCTTTACCAGATTCCTCCTTGTTTAGCTGCTGCCGCAGCTCTTCTTTGTCGGATTCTGCCGTTTGGAGCTTGGATTTGAGCTCGCTGATGTATGATATGGCATCTCCGATAAGAGATGCTTTGTCCATCTTTGAGACGTTTGGAACCACGGCTCTCAAGGCGTAGAACCTCTGATTCAGCTTCTCTCTCCTCTGTCTCTCCGCCTCTACGTGATTCAGCGGTTCTTCTCTTCCGTTGGCCGGTTTTCTTCCCCGTTTTCTCGGCCTCTTCTCCGGTTCAACGGTTCTTCCGCTGTCTGCTTCCTTCGCCACCGACGCTTCGACATCTGAGTGGTCCGAGTCGCCGGACTTCGCGGCGGCGGAGGGAATAACTACGCCGCAAGTGAAGGAAAGCATCCCTTCCTCGTTGTTGCTTCCTTTTGAGACCGGAGATCTCTTTTTATTGCTATCCCCTGCCATAAAACTGGTTTGACCCGAATACCCGGTTCCATTTCCGTTCCTTTTCTCGCTGGATGTAAGAATCTCTCCGGATTTTGGCCGCGACCCATCAGGGTAATTCCCATTTTGATTCAACCCAGAACTCGATAAATTCAAATCGCTCTGCGGGTTCTGACCAGGATTCTCGACCGAGCTACCGCCGTTATCGAAATGGCCAGGCTTTGGAAATAGGTGAGAATTGGAATTGGAATTGGAGTTGGAATTACCGTTGTTTATCGCCTCCGTCGGAGCAACGTGACCTGACTCAATTCCGGTGGTGGGCTCGCTAATCCAAAGGGCCGGGTCGTTTTCTCCCTCGTCCGGGTTCAGACTGAACGCCCAAGAACCCGCTTCGCCACCACCGTCGTTGAAATGGAACAGAGTGTTGACCTTTTCCATCAGATCTGAGCTCTGTTGGATCACCTCCGTCGAACCCAGCTCGACGACGCCGTTCTCCGATGGAATACACACCAGCGTCTGCAACCCGTAGATTTGACCCTGACGGGCTCGCTCACAGCCCGACCCGGCCAGCACACCCGACCCGGCAAGCCAGATCGTTCGAGAGTTTAAGGACGCTTGCCCCGGTAACCCAGTCCCGTTCAGGAAGCTCTGAGTCATCGACACCAAGAAGAACCCCTCTGTATCCGTGACTTCCTCGTCGCCGGCGTCATCGGCGGCTCCGACCGCTTCTCCGCCGGAAATCAGCGCGTTCAGCTCCCTTATAACCCTCTTCCGGTGCTCCTGCTCCGCGGCGCTCGCTGAAGAACACTTCTTCCTGCTCTTACCCTTATCCTCTTCTCCTTTGTAGTATCCATCGCCCCATCCGAGCAAGGCGGTGCCGTCGCCTCCGGGGAAATCGTACGAGAGCTGCCAGAATATCGCGTAGGTCCAGGGCTCTCTCGCGCCTTCGATCAAGGACTGGAGCCGCTGCTGGAGAGTATCCTCGTTGAACTGCGACTGCGCGGCCGCCGGCTGCTGGGGGTGGGCCCCGCCGGATAATTGCTGGTGCGGAGTAGCCGGTGGCCAGAGAGCAGAGTGATCGGAGCCCATGAAGGCTTCCATCACGGACGCGTCATCGTCGGTCGTCCATTGGTTAATCGACGCCGTTGTGCCTTTAGTTGGCTGGTTCTGCCGGTAATCGGCCATGAGAACATCCAGTGGAGAGCCAATCCTCCAGTCGATTGCGGCGGAGACTTTCCGAGGGGAGAAGAGAGGCGGTGATTGAGTGTGTAGCGGAGAAGAGATAAGAGGGACAGGAACACAGTAACTGGCTTGGAGAGATTCTTCAATTATTCAACTTTCAACAGCTCATTATTACTTTTTCTTCTTCTGTCAACATTTACTCATTTTATTCCCTCACAAAATATCATAAAACAAACAAGTTAATCCCAAAATCATTTATTTTTTATATTAGGGTCGGTTCACTTCTAAGATCTTTTGGTTATAAAGCATAAATGTAAGGCCAAAATTCTGAAAATTGGGATATACACGAGTCATATAGATTTTTCATCGCAAATCTATTTATCTCTTTTAAACATCTAATAATACTTTTGGAATCATTACTATAAAAGAAATACGAATCTATGTTAATTCCCCAAACATTTACGACTGATAAATCATCAATGTTGGTATTTATTATGTAATATATATATAATGTTGTAAAACAATGTCAGCATGTATGACGCACATTCTCTCCTTGTATATTTTTCTGTAATATTATATATAAACACGGTCGAAGTTCTTATATTATTAAATAATAAGATTTTCGATCTATCGTGGCAGTCTAATCCACTCCATTGTTTTTGTTTGTGTCACGTCTACTTCTCATGCGAAATCATAAGCATGGTCGTTTTTTGTATTATAATAATAGATTCATACAAAGATTACTCAATCAAATGGCGGGGATAAATAATTTAAAATTAACAAATTAATTATTAAAATTCGGATGGCAGTAGGATAAGATTCTCGAGATTATTTAATTTGAGGCTGGCTGCTATCCGTTCCCTTTTATCTCAACATTCAATTTGTTTTCCCCGTGTTTTATTGAGGCTAAATATAGAATTTTATTTATTTGTTTACTGTAATTATTAAAACAATATTATCTTTTCAATGAAAAACTACTCCGTAAGTTTTGCGCCAGAAATGGTCCCAGATTCGATTCCACTGGTGGGGAGGAAGGTAATTTCTGGACAAAAAATGGTCCATAGTCCCGAATCTAGGGTGGATGTATTTGGGCCGAAGGTTCGGGGAACTATCCTGATTATCAAAAAAAAAAGTTTTGCGCTAGATAGTGTGATATTTTTAAAAATGCCAATCCTAACGACAAGAATCGCATATATGACACATGCATATATATATATATATCATATATGAAAAATACGCATATATATAAGTTCAATTTGGTTCATATATATTGATATTTCAAATGGGATAAAAATAACAGGACAACTTTTCTAAAAGTTGGCCCTGCTAAAAAAGAGTGGCCAAGACTTGAGGAGAGTGATATTACAATGGAAAAACAATAATTACCTTTGATGCTTATGGCATGGATTTTGTTCTATTATATTATATTATATTATATTATATTATATTATATATATATATATATATATGTATATAGTTATTTTTTTTTCAGTACACGAGTCCAACGATTACGTAGAGTCAATCAGTCTCTTATATTTTATAATAATACCATTAATTAATAATAAAGTTAAATATTTGATAAATACGAAGTCGGAGACTTCTTGGAACTAGAAGCTTGGCGGTTGCAGATCTGCAAAACCTCAGGACTCAACAGACGTCAATAAGTTATAAATATTTTTTTCAATATCTCATCACATATATATATATATATATATGCACGAATACATATACCACACACACAGAGATTGATTCGTGGTTAATTCAAATTACATGTAATTATGCTAGATCTTATTGAAATGAACCATGATATTTGCAGGCATTTTCCTAATAAAAATCGCGTGCAGTAGAATTAAAACGACGACGTTTATTGTACATATAAATAATATGAAGATACACAACATGCATTTTGAAAAATTAAATTCATTCTTATATATATAATACATGTCCGTATATATAATATAATGGGAACCGAATTTTGACGGACCAGGTCCATTAAGGTTGTAATAGGCCCATTATGAGATTTGTGCCATTCATAATTGAAAGTCTGGGGCATTGTCGTAATTACGTTTTTTTTTTCCTGTGGATGTTATGAGAATTTACAATTGCAATGTCGTAATTAAGGTTGTGATGTTCATGTGCAATGGATGAGTAGATTAGGCATACTGTGCAGGAAAAGTGGGCGAGACAAGGGTTCGTCCGTTAAGCCTTTAACGTCGTGTCGCTTTTGAGATGGGATCACGCACGACCTGCCGTTTCACAAATTCTTCGACCTCAATGGTATTCCCGTATATTTATAGTTTATTTCGGGGTATTTTCGTCTGTTTAGTACGGAAAACTTTGATTTGAAGCGGAAAAAAAAGGAAAATAAAAATTTCTTCATTTCTCATATATTTTTTCTTTTTAATCTTGTAGTGTAGGTTGCCCGAGGAGGTGATCCATCATCGACTCTCCAGATTTCCGGGTTTTGGTTTTGAGGGTATCGATCCACTTGTAAACCCTTAAATTTCCATAGACTCTGCTTCGATGGCATCTGAGAATCTTACTGACAAGAATGTTGTTTTCAGAAAACTGAAAGCAAAATCTGAGAACAAGGTTCGATTTCTTGTCGTTTCTTGAGCTGTTTGCAATGGGGGTTTATTGTGTTTGTGGTTCTTAGATCTGGGCTTTTGTTTGTTTGAGGATTATCAACTCTTTCAGATCTGGATTTTGTATGATCAGAGCTTCGATTAAGTTTCGTTCTCCTATGATGATCCTGTTTTGGCTTTTTGGGGTTTCAGACGTGCTTCGACTGTAATGCGAAGAATCCGACATGGGCATCGGTTCCTTACGGTGTGTTTCTCTGCATCGATTGCTCAGCTGTTCATCGGAGTCTCGGTGTTCATATCAGCTTCGTGAGGTAGTTTCAGATTCCGGGAAACTCCAATTCTATAGTGTTCACTGTTTGATTAACTCGATCGAGATTATTCTAGCTTAGAATCGTAGCGCGATTCGTTGCTCTGGCTAGGGTTCAAGGCATGATTGTCTGAAGAGCTTCTCTATGTAGGATTCGTTGACTTCTCCTTTCATCTTCCTTCTTATTATGGTGTAAACTGTCCGAGAATTGTACATTGGTGTGGTAAATAATACCGTCATACTCGCGACAAGCATGGTTGATAGCCATTGTTTTCTTCTTCTTCTGTCTTCCATGTTATTTGATAGTTCTCAATTCACTGGTTTTCGGGAATCTGCTCGTGTATCATTTGCCAGGTAGCTTAGAATATAAAAATTGGTTCAGTGTTGGTTTTCGAGCCCTCAGTTACCGTTTTTCTTAGGAAGAGAAGAATCTGGCCGACCGTAATCTATACCGTATGCAGAAGAACATGGTTGATCGGAATGAATATGGCCAAATACTTCTGAGTCACTTAATATACATTTCCTTTTTTGAAAAGGTCTACGAACTTAGACTCATGGAGTCCTGAACAGCTCAGAACGATGATGTTTGGTGGCAACAACCGTGCTCAAGTGTTCTTTAAGCAACATGGATGGACTGATGGTGGCAAAATCGAGGGCAAGTACACTTCGAGAGCAGCCGAATTATACAAACAGATTCTCGCCAAGGAAGTGGCTAAAGCCATGGCGGAAGAGCCTGGTCTGCCATCATCACCTGTCGCAGCCTCTCAGCCAGTGGAAGGATCTAACGGGTTTTCTTCTGCTGTCAAGGAAGATGAACCTTCTAAAGAAAGTTCTTCTGCTAAACAAGAATCATCCAATGTTCCATGTTCGCCAAAAGTTTCTCGTACAGTTGTGTCTAGTATAGTTAAGAAACCGCTTGTTGCAAAAAAGACGGGGAGGACTGGGGGTCTCGGTGCTCGCAAGCTTACTACCAAGGTAAGATTCTGCAGTTTTGACGCTAGTTTTGCACGTATTGGAAAACGGGTTTTTAATTAAACATTCACAATTCTTCTTTTTGGGGAAAAAAATGCAGCGGAATGAAAATCTCTATGAGCAGAAGCCGGAAGAACCTGCACCAGTTGTTCCTGCGGCATCCTCAGCTAACACCAGCAGCTCTTCATTAGCGGGTTCATCATTTGCCCCTCGGTTTGAGTATGTTGAAGACAACATGCAGTCTGGAGGGCAGAGTGGTCCGCAAGTGCTTAGCCATGTCGCTCCGCCAAAGTCATCAAACTTCTTTGCGGAATTTGGAATGGATAGCGGTTTCCAAAAGAAATCGAGTTCGAGCTCCTCTAAAGTTCAAGTAAGTTGCATTTCTTACGAAATTCAACAAAAAGAGTTAGTGTCAATCCCAGTTTTCTGCTAAACTAATTCCTTACTAGGTCGAAGAGAGTGATGAAGCGAGAAAGAAATTCTCGAACGCAAAGTCCATTTCTTCCGCCCAATATTTCGGGGATGAGAGCAGAGCTGGTGATCTCGACACAAAAGCTACCCTTCAGAAGTTCTCGGTCCGTCATCTCACTCCCCTATTAAAAACTTCACAAGGACATTCCCTTTGATTATCCGAGTTAAAAGAAGAAGATTACACTGGAGGGTACTGGTGATTCAAATGTTTTATAATGTTTACAGGGCTCAGCAGCTATTTCCAGTGCTGATCTTTTTGGCCATGGGAGAGATGATTCATCCACTGATATTACCGCCAGTGATCTCATCAACCGGCTTTCTTTCCAGGTGATTTCCGTTTTCAGTGGGTTTATTTGGCGCGTGTCTGTATTTTCTTATGCAAATGTTCATTCGTATTCATATTGATAACAGGCGCAGCAAGATATATCGTCACTGGTGAACATTGCGGGTGAAACCAAGAAGAAGATCGGCTCTTTGGCTTCCGGCATTTTCAACGATCTTCAGGACAGAATCCTTTAATGTACGAATCGATATTCTGTTTTTTTTTCTTTTCATTTTTCTGTTTTTGGTTCATTGTTTAGCTTTAAAAGCCCAAAATCAGTGTTTATTTGGTTTTGTTTTGTAGTTAAGAGAGAGATTTGGGAGTTGGGACATCATATAATATATCAAACATATAATTTTCCCATATTGTTTTTATTTTTGGTTATTTTTCTCATTGAATTGTAATATGAAATTATTAGAAGAAAGTAAGCACTTGATTAAGATAATAAGTTGTTTTTTAATAACTAGGAAGCACATCATCAAAGTTCAAATGGATACAAAATGTTACAATACCTTAATAAAAACGCATTTTAATTTTATGTATACCGCCACCCCCTCCATCTTATTTTAGTCCCCTCGGGTGATAGATAATACACAAATGGGATAATAACAATAATATCATTATATTAAATCATTCAAGGGGAGTAGTAGCCGCCGCCATGTCCTCCGCCTGAACCTCCACCGCCGCCGTAAGCCCCACCGTGCTCGCCGCCTGCTCCGTACGCACCTCCACCGCCCCCACCTGAACCACCGCCGCCTCCGCCTCCATATCCACCTGCTCCCGCGTATCCACCTCCGGCACCACCACCCGTTCCATAACCACCTCCATGTGCTCCACCGGCTCCCT